AAAAAAGTAATCAATTTAAAAAAATCTGTTAATAATTTTTTATTTTATATCTGGGTTAAAAATTAAAAACCAAATGGTGTCATAATAATGCGATATTATCTCCTAGTTTCGAAAATGTTAAGGAGTTATAGTATATTTCAAATAATAAGTAATATTATAGTTTTAAAAATTAAAATTTTTCATAGTTCTAACATGAATCCAACAATTTTCTTTTTTCCTGATTTCATCCATTTCATTAAATAGTATTAACTATTAAGTGTTAATACCTTACTTAACTATTAGAAAATTTAGAATTGTATTATGTGAAGAAAATTATGTTAACTGAAAATACATTTTTTGGTAACTAACTTTAAAAGTAATAAATAATAAATACTAATAATTTTATACGGTGTGTTGATATAATTAAACTAAGACAGTAGGTAGTATATATAGATGGTAGGTAATTTTATTTTTTTTATTACTTAATTTTTGTAATTTAATATAATAATAATATTTTATAATAATTTTGTGGTTTATTAAAGGATTTGTGGTTAAATGATTTGAAATGACGCAGTACTATATTTACCAACATTGATACAAGTTAAAAAAACTTGTAGGTAAATTGTAATGCAGGATTGGTTGCAAGCAGGCTGCGTTGTCCACCCCATATTTCACTCATCACAGCTATAAATATACGTATTATTTTAAAATTGCAAATTTAAATGTTAGCTTTAATGTTAAACCTTGTTTGACATTTTCTTAAATAAAAATTTTAACCAAGAAATTACCCTTATATAACCTTCCAGAGGTATCATAATGATATGTCGATCTTCAAACCAGTTGAATATTATCTGCAAAATAAAAAAAATAAATATTATTAAATTATAATAAAATGTACTTTAGTATTTAATTATGAGTATAAATTATACATTATAGCTTTTTATTACCTTGTCACTTGTGCATACAATTAAAAAGAAACTTACATATTTTTATTTAAAAAAATTAACATGTCAACATTTTTAGGTAATAACCTATTGCGCTGAGTGCTTAACATTTGCTCGGCTTTCGAAAAAATTCTCTCAGATGGCACTGAAATTGCTGGGATTATACAATATTTTAATGCAATGTTGCTGAGTGGAGCTAATACTACTTTATGATCATTCCAATATGTTGGCACATAGTATTTGAGATCTAGATGAGGCATATTTAAATATTGTTTCATTAAGGCTGTTGCACTACTTGTCGTAGTTGTATGAGATTGTATAGTAGAAACTCTAGATTGTAGAAAATTCCAGACATTGTCATCGTCTTCATTAACATCCATTAAAACTGTAGCTTGTTCTAAAATTATTTTACATAACATTTAAAAGATCTTAGTTTCAATAAATTATTCACTTATATATTATATATTTACCAGTGTTAGAGACATTTCTCATTAATGAAGCTATTTCTCCAACTAAGCTGGCCTCAGCATCATTTGCATTTTCTATTAACCCAAACGCAACCTTTTTGAACCTTGGATCCAGTAATGTGGCTCGAGAAAAATGTGGTGTTTAGGCTTGTTTTTCAATTCCATCAAAACGCCTGGTAATATTTTCTAAGAGCCTACCTTTAATAAAACTTCCAAGTCGTGTTTTTGGACTCTTTGAATTTAAAGAAAATTGCTAACCTATAACAAATAAATATTAATATAAAGTTTAATATTAAATATTTAAAAATAATAGTTAATTTAAGGTAGAACAATTTAATTACTGAATTATAAAATTAATTACCTCGTACCAATGGTAGGTATTACTTTTGATATGGTCGGATATTGTTCTGCTGAAAGCTCAATAGTCAAATTGTTGAAGGGTCTAAGCAAAGGTATCATTTCTTCAATAATACTCCATTCTTGAGACTCAAGATTACTTGGTGCTTCATTTAATGTAATCATTACGATGGTCAGGGGTTCTTTTAATTTTATTAGCCTTTCTAACATAAAAAAGTACTATTCCAGCGGGTGCATATGTCTTGTTTTAATTTTAAAATTGTCGAACTTTCTAATTGTTTTTGTTTTTCGACCAACATTCGATTTCCTACTTCGCTTCTCTTGAAAAATCCAACTATGATACAGCACTTCTTTAAAATCGTTTTTAAGTCACCTTTATCTAAATCGTTCTCAGGACCGATTCCTTCGTCATCAAATAGTTTAAGAGCTTGTTGAACAACTAGATTTAATTTGTGAGCTATACACGGGATATGAGATAGGTTCATTAGCCTAATCGCTGCTTAAGTATTTGCTCCACCATCTGTAACCACTGCCACTACTTTATGAAAAATGTTCCAGTTATTTAGTTCGTTGGTCAATATTTCTGATAGATGTACGCTAGTATGGTGGCATTCTATTTTTTTTGTCCTTTGAACAAAAGTTTTTAAAACTGTTTCGCTTAAAAAATGAACAGTCAAAGTTAAATACGAATCTGTATTTATTGACGTCCAGATATCTGTAGTGATCGCTACATGCTCTGCATTATTGAGTAAAACTTGTACTTAATTTTGTACAAACGAAAATATATTTGGTATGATTGTCCTACCAAGTGCTCTCCTACTAGGAATTTCATATCTATAATAAAAGTTTATTTTACTTTCATTACTTTGTGTTCATTTTACTAAACAAACAGAAAAACACCAATTGCATACAAGAGAGGGACAGTAGATAAAAGTATGAATTGACATTTTTTAAAGTTAATTTTATAGTATAGATAAATATGTTATAACTTATTATCAGAGCTTTAAACTTAATGCACTAAAAAATCATAAATATGTATTTATATGGAAATCAACATGGTTACAGAGATAACAATATAGTAAAAGGTGTTATAGGTAGTTTTATTTATTAAAATTTCTTTTATAAAAAATGACAGTTTACACCTTTATCCAATGACCCTTATTCAAACATGGATATTCAGATAATTATAACTCAATGTTTATTTATATTTGATCATAATAATATACATATAATAAAAAATTTTAATTAAGACTAAATACTAATACAAATAATTAATATCTAAACTTCACATGTAATGATAAAACACAATTTGTAGTATTAAATGTCAGTATAAATTTATTATTTAATTATCACCTAGAGAAAAGTTTAATCATATTACGAAAGCCTGCATTTTCTACAATCGATAGCGGCTGAAGGTCTTCAGCTATCATTTTTACAATAGCTTCGTAGAACAGAACAACTTGCTTTTCTGATGGTATACCGAATCTTGAAAAGTATTAAATATGTGATATGTTTGACATTTGTTACGGGGCAATACAGCATACAATCTCATTTGATTATAACAACAGAGCGCGCGCAGAGTACGCGATGTCGTCAGGAAAACACAATAAATTAATACAAATTATATCAAGAGAGCGCGCTCACATAAAACCCGTTATCGCCTTACTGGTAAATGTATACAATCATCACACGCAATATGGAAAGAACTAACGCGAGTGACAAGCCAGAAATAATATATAAGGCCAACCAACATCAACAGAAAGCACCTATCCCTATTCTTTTATTCGAATTTATATATCACAACATAAATCAAATAAAAGGAGTTTCTAGGTACTGGAACACTATCCCGTAAGATATTGGCAACTTAGCTAAGTTGTCCAAATACTTACCGACCCCAAAAGCTCGCGGCTAGTAACGCTTGTACCGGGATTTATTCGGCACTTATCTTAGATGTCCGAGTAAAGTTCTGTGCTGGTGGCACTTAATTGAGCTGACCACCATCGGTACGAGAATAGTGGCACTTATTTGAGTTGTCCGGTTACACTTTGGTGCGCTCCTCATAAACTTCGAAAAGAGTTATTTGGAAATACTTTTATAACGGACGGAGGGTTCGTTATCAGTCGTTCGACTCGCCGACCAAGTAACTACCTAGGACCTCAACAGAAGCGAACTCCCAGGATCAAGTGGAACAGCAGCGGTGGAAAACAGACATATCGCGAAACCAACATCCAAGGGCTTCCGGAGTCACACACGGAAAAAAAATTTGGTTATAGTAAATAGTTAGATCCCTGTGTGCAAAAATTGGTGCTATAGATGTCACATAGAGTTCTCATTTAGCAATGCGAAGTTATAAATTAATGCCTATTAACTTCTTTGAGATATACTTGGTACGCCAAACGCCAGGTTGATTGATATTATAAATACGATATTAGGTTAGGTGAGGTATCATATACATCTCTATAACCTCGCATGGTAATTATATTTAAGTAACAAAAGGTCAAATAGAAGTACATTTTACAGTTGAATAAACATCTAATGCAGGATCTATCAGAAGTTACAAAACAACGCATTCATGTCGCATAGAAGTACACATTATCAATAATTATAACGTCTATATGTGATCAATTAAATGCCTATATTTATATTCGCATGGATATCACATTGTTAACAACCTATTGCACATACTTTAAATGTAGAAAAGTACCTATTTATATTCATATATATTATTTATATATAAACCTACTTATCCAACATACCTAAGTTGATTGACTTGAATATATTTGTGTATTGTGTAATGTGTTCATGTAAGAATAAATTATAATAAAGTATTAATTTATTCATAATTTAATAATTAATATTTAGGTATTTAAATCACTTATAATAATATAACAACTAGGTAGGTACCTATAATATATTAATATATATAGGAATATACTATATAAAACCGCATAGCCAATAAACACAAAAGTAGATTGTAGGTAGTATGACTTACTTTATTGTGTACTTTATTACTTTTAAAACCTCAGTAGCTTGATATTATATATATATTAAAATACAATACTAATACTAGATAGTAGTAGTTAGTAAGATTATAGCAAAAATTATACACTAATTATTCTTATTAGGATAAAATATAGTATAGGAATAATAACAAATAACAGTATTATCCAAGTAAATGCATAATTTTATTTAGGTAATAAAGATCATGTAACAATGTAATTGCAACTGCTTTTACATCAGAAATATTAAGCATTCATCTACCACTGTCAGTATCTTCATTGTTATTTTTTAATCCTTTTCTTTTCCTTTTTCCTCGCCCAAGACTTCTTTCAGATTCTGATAAAAATATTTCTCTTTCTTTTTGTACTGCTTTATCATATGAATCTATATATATTTAAAAATTATGCAAAACAATAAGGTAAACGAAAATCACAATAAAACATACCATAACTTTCACCAATAATATTTACTGGGAAAGATGACCAGTCTACGTTTGGTTCATCTGCTTTTATTATCATTAAAGAAGTAACTCTTTGTTTACTTGGCCATCGACAGAAATCACCTGTACGGGTACTAAAGGTCCAATTACTTGGAATAACAGAATATTTATTTTCATCTTCAAAAAATCCTATTTTCCACTGAAAATATTAAAATAAAATAAATAATTATGTGCATAGTTTGCCTGTATATCTAAAAAGAATTAATTTAACTGTCAAAGACTGAAGACAACTATTTATTTGAGTATTCTTTGTTATCCTAATAATCCTACATTATGTGTTTACTAGATAAGTACTTAACTTAAAAATAAATGGTTTTCACAAAATTATTTTTCACCATAACTTTTCAAATGTTGAATTAGGTAGGTACCTACATAGGTACTTAGGTTAGGTTAGTTAGGTATTGTTAAAAAAATAAAATAAATTTAATATTTACTTATAGGTATAATAGTTATTCGCTCTATAGTTTTTATTTGAATCGTACCTAGGTATTTTAAAAGTTTTATATATGCAGGGTTGTAAAATATTAAATAGGTATCTACTTGGTATACCTATACTCAGATTCATAGGTGTCAATATGTCATACAGAGAGGACTGATTCAGTAAAAGAATCTGTAGAAGACCTAGGTGTATATTGATTACTGTCATTACTGATTAGGTATTAAGCATTAAATAATATGTAAAAACACTAAAAACATATTTTGTAAAACATCTTTCTTTGGACATTTTATTTTATATAACTATATCTATATTACTTAACATAATTTTTCAATACTTCCATCACTCTCCTTCGAGGTGTAAAGGCCTCTTCAGAAATGAGGAAATTTACCTATACCTGTGTTAACGTCACCATACACTGCAGCGGTGACGGTAAAATTCTATTGTCTTGGCGATTGTGCCAGGCTTCATTTTATATCTATGGCTGCAGTGTGTGCTGAGTGGTGATTGTGGGGGTCCTTTACATGTATGATTTAAAATATTATCTATTATAATTTTTAATTACCTGTTTTATTACTGGATCCATTTGTTATTTTCGATAAGTACACTGTACTCAAACACGGTGATCAGTGATTAAGAATCCGGAGTTGTAATCCGGAGACATAAAACGAATGTGTAACAATATAATATTCTGAAACGAGTGAAACGCAACTACGCAAGTACGCACCGTGCTAACAAGTAACAACAATAATATCATACTGTTATTACCAAATAAGTTGAATAAAAACAACCGAAAATAGCGGTAATGATAAATGATAATATATTAATAATACTTAAACAACCTCTCATATAAATATCATGCTGTTATTATTGTACTGCGATAATGAGATGTGTATGTGACTTCCAAAAGAAGTTAGAGAATTAATATTACTTATAATTAAATTTATAAATATCATTTACTATTTTTATTATTTGAAAATACCCAAGTACAATATATAACAAGATTTGCGACAACCTGAAGACGTTGTATTATAAATCTTATTATTAATGGGATGTTATGTTGTGAACTTCGAATAATTAAACCTCTCTATAACTTAAAAATTTAAGATAATATGAAACTTTTATTTTGCACACAATATTGACTTCCTGGAGAAGTTAAATTCAAAATAAATATAATTTGTACTTCTATGCGAGATACATTTTAGGACTTCTCATAGTCAACATAATTATTACATCTCTTATATACAACATCCTTAATAATTATTTTAAAATGTATCGTTAATTAACTATAGAAGTAAAATGGTGAGGTTACAATTAAAACTTAAAACCACTATCGCTGAGAACTAATGTTCATCATTTTGCACACAGGGATAGTTTCTAGTTGGTGTATTAAATAATTTAGTTGTGTCAAACAATATGTTTAGTTAAAAATACTAAAATGAATTAGTTGAACAATTATAGTCAAACCAACTTGCTTTATAGTTATTGCAACTATATAAACTAGTAATTCAAATATAACCATATGAAATGGTTGGTGTACAAATATTAAACAGTTATAGCAACCATAACCATGGCGAAATTTTCCCGCCTAATTCAAAAGTTAGAATTTTGTACCAATAATAATATGACTTATGAAATGTCAAATGATTAAAATTTGGTTTAAATACAATTAAAAACATTTGAACATTTCGAATAACTTTTGTCACATTACACATGTGATAGCGTTCAAGGAAAGATAGCTCGCATAGGTACTCCATGATGTGTTATTATTATATATTTTAGTATCTAAATGGTATATTATAGTGAATTTGCGTGTTTATATCTAATGCCTACTTATATAGTTCCAATTAAACGATATTCGTAAAAGAGGGTTAATCGTTTACACGTACGGATATGTAATTTCAAATAATCTAGAGTACTCGCTATTAAATCGAATTCTATGATTTTACAATCTTCCCAATAATCGTGATTTTTGATTTTGTATAAACATATACATGACGTGTTTAAAGAAGTTCCAGGACTTGCTACATTATTATTACAACTTATAAGCATTATTATAAGTTTACAATATTGTCATCGTCATTCGTTTGTGACCTGTGTTGCTTTTGCGATTAGATGTGTAAATGTATGATTTGTATTTTTATTATTTTTTTGAATATTTTATTATTAATACATTTGATACTAAATCAACTACCTAATATATACTATTTATATTTTTAATTATTTGTTTAATCTTAAACACAAAAACAAATTAAAAGTTGAATGATAAAATAAAAATATTAAGATTGTTTCAATAGTTTCAATAGTTTATAAAATCAATCGAATAAATAGATAGTTTAAAACTTTCGAGTAGTTACGATAGTTTTTACTCGATAGTGCCCATCACTACAAGCCACCTTCATTGAATGGATAAATGCAACATCCAATGGTTGAGTTAAATGTGTACTATTTGGAGGGAAGCATACAAAGTATATATTATTTTCTTTTCTACAAGTTTCAATAATATGAGGAGATAAATGTGAAGATAAATTATCCCCTTTGACAACTTTCTTCCCTGATTTTTTTTTTTTTTAAATGACGCAGCAGTGTTTTTTTCAAACCAATCTTGGAATATGTTTGCATTAAACCACCCTGAAAGACTAGTATTTTAGTGACAATTTTTGGGCCCATTTTGTGTCCAAGGTTCTCACAGACATTTTGCTTTGTAAACAGTGTAAGGTAGTAATATTTCTCCTTCAGCGTTTCCACACATCATAAGGCTAATAGAAAATTTAGAAGTGTTGCATATTCATTCTGGATATTTACATCCTCGCTTAACCAGGATTGTCAATTAAATTAGTTTCATCATAATTATAAATATTTTTAGGAAGTACACCAGACAGAGTTTTCTTTAAGTTTGTTATATAATCTTGTAAAGTATCTTTATTGATTGCAGCTCATTTTATATATGATTTATAAGGCCAAAAAAAGTTTTCCATTTTATGTTAAATAGTTTCCATTTTATCAAGAGTTTAATCTTATGTTAAATTATAGAAATCAGCAGGGACCAAATAAATTTCTGCACAGAACAGGATTCGTCCTAACAAGGGTCCGTATGAGACAGGTTTTATTGTACAATGTAATAATGTAATAGGTATATAGAATTAATGATAATTTTTTGATACTAAATTAAATCATACTTTTACTAATTTACACAAATCTAGAACAACTAAGTTATTCGATGGGCCATACAATGGGTATAGATAGAATACGGATATTCAGTTTGGATTTTTGTCTGTACGCCATTAAATTTACTTGCCATTATACTGAAACCATCATAATATGCCGAGCAACAACTGGTATAATTATTTAGTTGTTTTGAAGAAATCTATAATGGAAGTTGACAAAGCATTAGCATCTTACTTTTGAGATACATTAATAAACTTTAAAAATCTTTCATATTTTATAATATCTTTAACATAACATACACAAATTGTCATTTGTTCGTCTCTATACCATCTAATAAAACAAAAATAATAAATTACAATATTACATACACTTTTAGTAAACAATTACATATTTAACATAATATTTGTTAGTACCTTGCTTTATTACAAATGATAATAAAAAACTATCTTCATTAATTTCCTTAATGATAGTATCTGTTATTATTATTTATAATTATAACCTACCTAAGAGCACACATGTTCCATGTCCATTTTCCTCATTTTTGGCAAATCACTAAAGAAGTTTTGTTGCTTGTATAGCTTTAAAACTAGAACAAAAATATTCCTTTTTTTATAATTACTACCAAAATAAGTATTAATTATGAAGTATTTGAATTAAGACTGGCGGTTTTAGTTACTTTTACTATAAAAATCAATTAAATTAAATTAAAAGTCGGACATAGGACTTCTGTACACAAAAAATAATTTCAACATGGATATAAAACTGAAAATTAAAAAATTAAAATATCAAATATCGAAACTGTTTTTTTATTGTTTTTCGAAATTACAATATAAAAAAAACAAAATACAAATAAGTATTATGTAAAAATTAATTTTAAATTTCAATAAAAAAAAATAAAAAATAAAAATTAGTTAAAAAAATTAATTAAAAATGTTATACTTATTTAAATTTAATGGTCATCCAAAGTTTCTTGTTCGTCGTCTAAATTCCATAATGCTTGGTCTCTAATTCCATTAGCTGATGGTAAATTATCGAAAAAGAAAAAGTAGTCTTGAGGAATAACTCCTTTTTTATGAGGTTCATAAAGTCTCTTTTTTTGGCCTAAGACACTGGGTGTTGTTCATTATATTTTTTGGGAATATTAATGAATTTCCATGACATATTTTTATCGTTGATATTCATGTACTCAAAATTGTCTGCAGATATGTCATACTTATAGTTATAACAAACTGAATTTTCACCTCATACAAATCTCAACCATTTCAAATGAATCCATTTCACAGCTTTGCCCTTAAAACGTTCTTTTTCTGCTCGTCACTATTTTAGTACTCAAATTTTGAAGATCATAAACATCATCAAATCGATTTTGGTAGACTTCATAGGAAAATGGTTTTTTCCCACACATTTCAATTAAACATTTACAGTGTTATTCATAGTAAATTGGATCTGATTTAACAGTGATTTAATAGTAGTTTAACAATTGGCGGGGCAATGTCTAATTATATAATAGTAATATAGTTTAGGGTAACTCCAATAATGAAATAGACATAATAGATAAACAAAGTGGACTGTATATTAAATAATAAAAAAAATCACACTGATATTAATACAATACAATAATAATGCTTATTTGGCAGTATAACAAATAAGTAAATAATAATATGAATATGTATTGATTAAAAAGTCCAATAACTATGAACAATATAACAAAGTAACAAATATATTATATAAAAAATTAAGAGGCAGCAAATAATAACAAATTTGAAGCCTTGAAAGTCTTTTTAACACAAGTAATAATTAAACAATAAGTAACATTTATGCCTCATATGGCCCTTATAACTAACTAAAAATATTACAATAAATATTATAACCATGTGGTGCACCACGTACCTTAAATATGATTATGATGCCATGTGGTGCCCAGATCCGTATTTAATAATATTAATGAATTACAATGAAAAACAAGTTGATCTGGCACACTCACATGAGCATCGCTAAACATACTACGAGGAATCAAACCTAACCTGCAGCCAAACCATACAATAACAAATCCAAGGATTATTCACCAACGACAATTTATATAAATAAGAAACCTCCTGCAAATATAACAATATTTAATAACCGCAACAGAAGATGACCGAACGATACATACCAATGTAAAACACAGGCGTCATTTACCGAAAAACAAAATGGATGAACCACGTGGAAAATGAATAGGAACAATAAAATGCATAAACCGAATAACAACAACATAATAAAAAATGAGCAAGCAACACAACATGCTGCTTCGAGAGCGCCGAATAAAAACAAAACACAAAGGAACAATGTGTACAACAGACCAAACCGAAACAAAAACTAATAAGAACATAGGAACGATATTTAGTGCCATACGCACAACTATATAAAACAAAACAATCATTGTATATTTGGTGACATTGATACAATGACTGCACACCAGAATAATAATACCAAATAATATTTTACATAATAAAAACAAATAATA